TAGAGAAGTCACATCCCCTAAGCAACTAGGAATACTTCCCCACATTTGGTTTTGTGAAAGGTTTAGCATGCCCAAGTTGGGTAGCTCACATAAAACAATTGGGAAAGGACCACTAATTCTGTTTGCACCAAGTGAAAACTGTTGAAGTTTTTCCAAAGAACTTATTGTCGTCGGGACAATTCCAGTGAAGTCATTTTTATCCAGCTTCAAATAAGATAAATTTCTCAAATTTCCAATTTCATTTGGAATATGGCCTTTGAGATTACAACCTATTGCCTCAAACGTTTGAAGAGACGAAAGATTCCCAATGGATTTTGGAAGTATTGCATTTAGGGGATTGATAGAAACTATCAGTTCTCTTAAGTATTTACAATTGGCCAAAGGAGTAATAAAACTCAACATTGAAGAGTCACTAGTGAAGGAGTTACCTTGCAAGTTGAGAATTTCAATAAGTCTTAAGTTTCCTAGAAAGTCAGGAATTGAACCTGTGAGTTCATTCGCACTGAGTTCGAGAACAGTAAGCTTAGACAAATTTGAGATGGAACTAGGTAAAAAACCATCAATGTTATTTGCACCTAGAAAAATTCGTTCAAGATTGGGTGACCCGCTGCCTATAGTGTTAGGAAGATTACCTGAAATGCGGTTTTGTGTGAGTGTAATAGATACAAGAGTTGAGATATTAAATATGCCAATAGGGATCGACCCACTAAAGTTATTGAAATCCAACTTCAGCATCAGCAACTCTTGAAGGTTACCGATTTCATCTGGAAGTACGCCTGCAGAATGAAGTAAGATTACCATTAGAAGAAGTATTGAAAGAACTGGCATTCTGAAATCCTGTGGTCAAATATTATTCCATACCCGTCAGGCTATTCATTCCAAGATCAAGTACGTTAACCGTAGTCAAATTTCCAACCTCTCTTGGTAGAGTTCCTTCAAGCTTGTTGTCCCACATTGATAAAACTTGAAGTGATGAAATATTGAATATGCTTAATGGGATTGAGCCTGTTAATGCATTTTGTTCCAATCCCAATTGCTTCAAGTTATGAAGATGACCAATCTCATTGGGAATTGTGCCTGTCAAATTGTTATGCAAAATTATCAAATGAAAGTCCTAAGGAATTAAGTTGAACAAATTTCAATACCTCATTAAATAATTTAACAGACAGGTATAAGCAAAGGTCTACTTTATGATGTAACAAATTCTCACACCAGGTCAAAACCATACATTTGCTTGTTTAGGAAAGGAAAATTGAACACTTAACCTCTAATCGAAACTGAAAATTAAAGTGAATGCATGTACTCAGCACAAAACAATATCTTCGATTTCTTACTACATATGTAGATATTGTTAAGATTGGAAGCTGCATACCTTCTAACTTGTTATTTCCGAGAGCTAATTGTTGCAGCAGTTGTAATTTCCCAAGTTCTCCTGGAATTGTTCCAATCAAGTTATTTTCCATCAACAGTAAGACTTGAAGTTGCGAGCACTCTGATATACGTCTTGGGATCTCTCCACTTAACATATTGAAATTAAGTCCAAGCTTTTGCAATCTTGGAAGACAACCACACAAATCAGATGGAAAATCACCAGTTAAACCAGCATTTCTGAGATCTAAATATTCTAGTGTAGAGATGTTGAACATAGAGAGCACATTGGAACCATTGAGTTTATTAAATCCAAAGCTCAACCATTTCAAACTCCGAAGAGCGGCTATTCCAGCTGGAATATTTCCTTCTAAATTGTTGTACCTCAGATTCAGGAATCCAAGATTCTTCATATTTGAGATAGAAGAAGGAATGAACCCACTGAAACTATTGTTTTCAAGAGACAACATTTGAAGGTCTTGAAAATCACCGAGGAATTTAGGGATTTCTCCGGTGAAGTTGTTGAAACTAAGATTAATAGCTCTCAATTTTCGCAAACGAGAAAACTCAAGTGGAAGTTCACCATGGAAATAGTTGTAGCTTAGATCAAGTGAAACAAGAAAAGAGAGGTTGCCAAGTTGTGACGGTATGGTACCGGAAAAGCCCATGTCTGAAATATTGAGTACAGTAACTCGTTGATGACGAGAGCCACAAGTGACACCAATCCAGCTACAAATAGAGGCAGAAGAAGACCAGTTTGTTGAAAGAATTTGATAAGGGTCTGAAGTGATTTGGGATTTCAACGCGAGAAGAGAAGTTTGATCAGTTCTAAAATTCATGGCTAAGGAAGTTGCTAGAGCATGAAGAAGAACGAACAAAATTGTTAGAAGGTGAAAAGAGGGATTTTTCTCCATTAATGAAATCCTCATTTTTTCTGAGTGAATGGGAGAAAATGTGTTCGCCGTAATTGCATAGAATATGGCGGTACATTTAAATATTTATAAAACAGGGATTCACGACACAGAAAAGGAAAGAGACAAGCTAATTCCCATTCACTTTCTTAGTTTGTGCAATATGAAATTACGCTTTCAAATCAGTCTTTGAACATGCCATTTGTGATCATGTAATTATCCACACAAAAAAAAATATGTCATCTGCAATTTCAAATCATGATTTCAAAAAGTTTATGTAAAATTTGACCCATAAATTTATATTTTATATATAAAAGATATATATTATTTTAAGTTTTACAAAAAAAACTCATGTTAAACGTGAAAAAATTGTTCATACCATGTGAAAGGATTATATTGAAGAATATATGATTAATTAGTTTCTACTATTGTTGACTAGTGAATTTTTATAAAATTATGTGTATTTGAAAGTTTATAAACACAAATATTTAGTTATAATAGGAATATGGAGATATGTGATTGATCAATGTGATGTTTTAGGATATTTTGATATTTTATTTATGAACTATAGTTTGTTCATTTGGTAAAATTGTATACGACTTGAAGAAATTTTGATGGTTTTCATAATTTGTAGGGTTTAATGTTTATAATTTGAGAAATCCAAATTGTATATCCAAACAAAATTTCAACTTCATTTATATTCATATCATAATTTCATATCGTATGTCCAGTATGGTCTGAATTGTAAATGTGAAAAGGATAATTGGGATATAGACATTGATTGCTTAAGAATCAAAACTCAACTCAAGTAGGGTCACGCACTAGGCTATGTGATCTTATTCAGATTGACTTATTTTCTGGATTTCAAGATCTACTAGATTTTATATAAATCCAGCCAACTTTTCACTTGAGTATTGAAATATACACATTTGCTTTAAGCCATTACATTCCCTTTGGTGGTGCCATCCAATTTTGAAATTTTGGGTACCAAAAAGAACCCAACTTGCCAACCACGCTTATATTAATCTTCCACTAGCGTCTTCTTCTTCCATTTAATCATCGGTATCTAAAATTTACTGGTCCGACTAATTCATATCCATCCTCATACTTAGGGAGAAAAATTCTCTCTCTCTTCTGTACATTTTCCTCTAAAGTTACTATCTCAACCGTTTGTATGAAAAGTAAATATGAAGGGTGTGTTTGGTACAAAAGATAATTTTTTTAATCTTTTCATGTTTAGTTAGTCAAATATTTTGAAAATGAGCTCTCTAAGGAAAGTAGGGAAAACAAGTTCTATTTTAGTGATATTCCACATTGATTCAGTTTTCTTCACCCTTCAACATACCTCATCTTCACCTAGCTTCTATAGCCCTCATCCCCACCATTCGAAACCCCTACCTCCCATATAGTATTTTTCTAAACTATACACAAATGCTTATAGGATAATGATTTTTACTTATCTAAGAAATACAAAAAAATAAGTAGGAAATCCACTTATTCTCTAGAGAACATTTTAAAAAAAAATATTTTCCTTCGTACCAAACATACCCGAAGTATATATAAAAGATAAAAACCCTACCAACAAAAATACACATAATCATGAGTAGATGTACATATATCAAGGATATATATATTTGTATAATGTACACTCTCAGCTTTTGCATATCACAATAGAAAAAAAAAAAAATTTAACACATTTTAGCTGTTAAATGTCAATTGAAATTCTATTGTTAGCCCCATATCAAATATTTAGCCCAGGGGTCATCTAAGTACCTTTTTGTCATTTTAAACGGCTTTTACTTGTTTAATTAGGCGACAAAATGAAGGGGTTAAAATAAGGGAAAATTAAGTGGATAAACAAATATATATTAGTTAATTAGTTAATTAGTTAATATAGCTATTCACAATTTAATTAAATTACCAATTGTCATTAACTTACAATCATAATTACTTGGCCCACGTACATAATTTGTATAATTCTCTCATAATTGTATAAATTTAGAATTTGTATAATTCGATTCTTAATTGTATAAATCAAGAATTTTTCTAATTGTATAGATCCAAAATTTATTTATGCTTACCCTAACTTGTATATAATATCGCATTGATACATTTAATTTGCATAAGTTCAAAAAAATCCTAAATGTATAAATACAAAATTTCTATATACTTACCATGTTTGTATATCAACAAGCGAATTATAAAAACAGAAATACCTATAGCAAACAAAACTATAACTATGAAACGTATTTAAGCAAACGGTAGCTAAAAGGGCTTGTCAAATTTAATTAAGGGAAAATTAACTCATACTCTTTTGCATTTTTGCACGACGTTGACCGGTAAACTCACCGGATGTAAATCCTAATTGGCATTCCACGTCATCAAAAATGCTTAGTTGGCTATCCACGTCAAAGTAGCTCAGCATCATCTCAAAACTTTTTCTACCCCTATAAATAAAGAGAAAAATCAGTTGAGAAGCAAAAAATCAGTTAAAAAGAATCGTTTCCACCGAGAGAGAGAGAGTTTCGGCGCTTCTTCTTCATTTGGGTTGGATTTCTGCCTCTCATCAAATGATTGTCAAGGTGAGTGCTTAAATCAGAGCAATTTCTTGAAGATTTTTAGTTAAATTTGGGCGAGTACTCTACTTTCTGCATACAAAACTGTTTGATTCATTGTCTCAACCAGAAATAGAATCTCCATTTTCCTTGTATTCTGAAGAAGATGAAGAAAGCAAGACGAATTACCGATATTCCGTGTCTTCACGAAGAGATTCTTGGTGTTATTTTTTCAAGATTACCAGTTAAAACTCTGCTGCGATTGAAGTACTCATATAAGGGCTATTGCGATCTGATTTCAAGCCCCTGGTTTATGACTCTGCATCGCAAGAGGTTTAGTTCAGACCCTGATAACCATTGTATCTTTGTTCAGACTGGGAAGATAAATCGTTTGATCCGTCTACAAAATCCTGGCAACTTGATAAAGCTTAATGAACCCTGTAGGACCGATTATACTGTTATAGGTTCAATCAATGGCTTGATCTGTCTAGTTACTAATATTGCTTCCCGTCAATGGATTTGCCTATGGAACCCTTCCATAAATCAATACAAGATGTTCCCTGTGCACAATGATAACCCTGAAAAGACACGCAAATGTGATGTTAGTATGGGTTTTGGATATGAAAAAGGTTCTGATGATTACAAGGTCATCAGGGTTCTAAGCTATAAAACAGGTTGGCCATTGACTATACTTGAGATTTACTCAACAAATTCGGACTCTTGGAAAGAAGTGAAGTCTCATAGTCGCTTAATTAAATTGAATACCTGCTTCTGTAATGTAATTGTTGAAGGGCTTACTTACTGGGTTGCCAAGGACTTGGATGGAAGTACTGTTCTTGCCTCGTTTGTTTGGAGTATAGAGAAGTTCTTCATAATTCCTTTACCGGAAGAAGTGATAACTAAATCTCAAACTTTTGTGGCCACGAACTATCATGGGTCATTTGCATTGCTTGCATACTCTTCACCCAGCAAATTCAAGGCGTGTGTTGACGTTTGGGAGATTGAACTTGATATCTCTGCAGAGGAGTGTGACTGGAAAAAGAAGGACACCTTTCACACGGATTTTGGCTTTTCAATGCATTGGGGTCTTACTGGTGGAGATATAGTAGTTGAAAATGCTCCAAACATGCCCTTCTTGTTCAACGTGACAACAAAACAGATGTGGGAAATGGGAATAAATCCTATTCTTTCACTTTCCAACTATACTGAGAGCCTTGTATCAATTAAGGGGTTCAGGCGTGTCCGCAATCAACTGAAAAGGAAGAGGAAGGCTTCAAATCCAGTAAGAGCAAGATTGAGCTAACAGGCACATAGCTGAACTGAAGTAAATGTAGCAATTCCAACATATTAAATTCTACTTTTCCTTGTTTGTGTTTCATAAACATTCCTATGATAGCTCTGTATCGAATCTGTCATAAACTTAGGCATTTAAATGTTTAGTAACTGGCCTCATTATGGTCCAAGATATGTACTTTGAGTTGCTATCTGTAGTAAGAAAACTAGCCTCATTTTGTCACAGTTGTTGATATACAACATGGTGGAATCTCCAAATAATATAGATCCCTTTTAATGCAACTTTTTCTACTTTATGAGAAGAGAACTACTATTTTATATTGAATTGCATCTTCTGAGTTAAGTGTTTTGCTTCTTTGAGCAAGATAGGCGAAACAATTTTGACGTGTAAAACGCGTAGTGTGCCAAGTGACATCTCAGTGTATCTGTAATCTGACTTAGTTTTTATTGAACTCAAGGCAATATTAACTCATAAAGAAGAAGAAATGACCCCAAGATTCTTTGACTAAAATGCACTTTCTCATTAATTAAGTCTAAAATAGTCCATTAACAATGCACTTACCTAATTTAGTCCCTTAACTATCCAAAACCTTATCAGGTTTAGTTCTTTAACTTTACACTTACCGGTGTCCTTTAGTTAAGAGGACATAAATTTGAGATAGTTAAATGACTAAATCTGATAAAATTTGAGATAGTTAAAGGATTAAATCCGATAAGTGTATATTATAAGAGACTATTTTAGATCTACTCCAATAGTTTATGGGACCATTTGTGACATTTAGTTGTATAATATACATTCTCAGCAAGCTGTTGCATTTCACAATAAAATTTTCACATAATACATAAATACGCCATTTAACTTGTCTTCAACTCAAATTTATGTCCTCTAACTTTGGGTGTGCACAAGTAGACAATTAAACTTGTATAAGTTGAATAAATAAACACACGTATCCTACGTGACATCCTACATGACGATTTGAGTCTCACGGGTGTCCTACGTATATTATGCCACGTAACTTATATGTCTATTTATTTAATTTTATACAAATTTAAGAATCTATTTATGCAAATTCAAAGTTAGAGAGGGTAAATATGAAATGAGGCAAAATGTAGGGGCATTTCACGTCATTAAATATGCTTAATTGGCTTTACATGCCAGCCCCCACATCAAAGTTGCTCAATATCATCTCAACTTTTTTCACCCCTATAAATAAAGTAAAAGAAAGAGAAAAATCAGTTCAAAAGAATCGTTTCCACTGGGAAGAGAATGTTTCTTCTTCATTTGGGTTGGGTTTCTGCCTCTCATCAAATGATTCTCAGGTGAGTGCTTAAATCACAGCAATTTCTTGAAGAGTTTTAGTTAAATTTGGGCGAGTACTCTACTTTCTGCATACGAAACTGTTTGATTCATTGTCTCAACCATAGTCAGAATCTCCATTTTCCTTATAATCTGAAGAAGATGAAGAATGCAAGACGAATTACTGATAATCCGTATCTTGTCAATGAAATTGTTGAGGGTATTTTTTTAAGATTACCAGTTAAAACTCTGCTGCGATTCAAGTGCATATGTAAGCGCTATTGCGATCTGATTTCAAGCCCCTGGTTTATCACTCTGCATCGAAAGATCTTTAATTCAGAACCTTATAACCATTGTATCCTTGTCCAGACTGGGGAGATAAATCGTTTGATCCGTATACGAAATCCTGGCTGCCTGATAAAGATTAATGAACCCTGTACGTCTAATTATACTGTTGTAGGTTCAATCAATGGCTTGGTCTGTCTAGTTACTACTACTGGTTCCCGTAAATTGATTTGCCTATGGAATCCTTCCATAAATCAATTCAAGATGTTCCCTCCTATGAGGCGTCAAATGACACGCTACATTGATGTTAGTATGGGTTTTGGATATGAAAAAGATTCTGACGATTACAAGGTCATGAGGGTTCTAAGCTATAAAACAGTTTGGCCACCTACTACACTTCTTGAGGTTTACTCAACCAAATTGGAATCTTGGACAGTACGGAAGTTTGATGTTCACTTAAAAATGAGTATGTGCCGCTGTGATGTAATTGTTGAAGGGTTTACTTACTGGGTTGCCAAAGACTTGGATGAAAGTACTGTTCTTGTCTCATTTGATTTGAGTAGTGATGATCTCAGATTAATTCCAGTACGGGAAAGTTTGATAACTGAATCCCAAAGTTTTGAGGCCACGAACTATCATGGGTCATTTGCATTGCTTGTATACTCTTCACCCAGTGAATTCAAGGCGTGTCTTGAGGTTTGGATGGTTGAAGATGTCTCTGCAGAGGCGTATAGATGGCAAAAGAAGTTCACCTTTCGCATGGATTTTGAGTTTTCAAGTCATTGGGGTCTTACTGGTGGAGATATAGTAGTTAAAAATGCTCCAAACATGCCGTTCTTGTTCAATCTGACAACAAAACAAATGAGTGTAATAGGAATAAATCCTATTCTTTCACTTTTCAACTATACCGAGAGCCTTGTATCAATTGAGGGTTTCAAGCGTATCCGCAATCAACAGAAGGTGAGAAGGAGGAGGAATGATTCACTTCCACAGAAGAATCAGCAAGACAGAGCTAACAGGCACATAGCTGAACTTAGGGATTTAAATGTGTAGTAACTGGCCTCGATATGGTCCAAGATATGTACTTTGAGTTGCTATCTGTTGTAAGAAAATTAGCCAGTTTAATGTGCATTTGTCACAATTGTTGATATACAACATGGTGGAATCACCAAATAATATAGATACCTTTTAATGCAATTTTTTCTGCTTCATCAGAAGAGAACTATTTTATATTGAATTGAGTTTAGTGTTTTACTTCTTTGAGTAAGATAGGCGAAACAATTTTGACCAGTAAAACGTGTAGTGTGCCAAGTGGCATCTCGGTGTATCTGTAATCACACTTAGTATTTTTTGAACTCAAGGCCATATTAACTCATACAGAAGAAGAAATGACGCCATGCACTTTCTTGCAGGGTCCTGGCATCTAGTTTCTGATCAGATATTACATTGGAACTGGACAATAAGCAACCTTCATTATATGCAGTTGTTTTTGCCCCCCTTTAACAATATGTTTTTTGCTTCAGATTCGAGGGTTGCTCGAAAGGTCAAACCAAAGTAAAAGCTAATAAGACAAGACAGGAGGCTCTAAGAATGGAGCCTTGAGTGTATCTCCACGAATGTGTTTGTCCTTCATAAAGTGTGGGCCAGGGGCATATAACCATTGCCAAAATGGAACTTTTGTACATCAAAAAATTTACTGTAAAAAATAGACTTGTTTAAATTTCAAAATTCGAAATGTGTCATATAAATTGAGATGAATTGAGTATTAGGGCATCTAATTACATAAGAATGTGACTCTTTATACGTTTTGACTGCCAAACTAATGTTGATTATACAAGTTTTGCAGATTGAGAGAATATTTAATCATTTGTCATTCGACAAAGAAGTCATTTAAATAGACCGATTGTTCATCATTTTTAACTTGTATTTTTGTAAGCTTAAAAATTTGGAATACTAATTACAATGCGTTTTTAATATGGCTTAGAGAGGGTGTTTCTTCAATCAATTTTGCTTGAGCCCAACTTAAATCAGCATTCAAGGCAATTTCTTAAAGATTTGGGCCACTGTATTTTCTGTATACAAACTGTTTGATTGATTGTCTCAAATAAATAAAGGCAAAAGTATTCATTACCCCTGAACTTGAAGCTTTTTATTCGGTGTACACCTAAACTATATTTCGTTTTAATTACCCCCGAACTTGTTTATTCCTCCATCGCGTACACCTAAACTATATTTCGTTTTAATTACCCCCGAACTTGTTTATTCCTCCATCACGTACACCTTTATTGTCCAACTGACGTAGAAATTTACAACACACTCTACTAGGCGCATGAGGAGGTGATTTTTTGCCACATCATAAAGCTACAACGGTAAAACAACGTAAAATCTCCATTTTTCTTTAATATTTGGCATATTTTAAACGAAAAATAGGGCAAAATGTAAATGAAAAGTAAAGGAAACAAAGATTAACACTTACTTGGTAAGAATTTCAAACAAATTTGAAATTTAATCGATCAACTTCATGTCTAGAAAAACCCAAATCCCGAAGGAGTTCCGCAAAATCAACCCGTATTCAAAAATAACTTTTAAACAATGAATTTTAAATTTAAGAAAAACTATCCAATGAATAAATGACATGTAGCATTTTACCTAATTATTTTAACTATTTTAAAATATATTTTGCAGCAAGCTATCCCCTTCCCTGCAACCCCCGCATCCTCCCCTGCAACCCATCTTCTTCAAGATACTTTTGTAGAAACAACCCCAATCCTCACCGATTTTTTTTAATCCAAAATTAATTTGTTTTATTCCCAACAATAAAAGTCTTGTGCTGGCATTTAATCTGAGTTCTCCAGTACTAAATATTAATTTCTTGAAGATTTTTGGGTTTAGTCCGGAAGTTTTAGTGAGAAGCTTAGTCCGAAAGTTTTAGGTGAGAAGCCTAGGTGAGAAGGCGAGAAGGTTTGATATTTATTTTTTGCCATATTAATTTATCTAGGTGACTATTATTTATGTAGGTGGAAATCCACATCACCACTTTTGTCAGTTGTCGCGCGCGCGTAGTCACAATAGGAGCAGGTGGACAAAAAAAGTGTACGTGATGGAGGAATAAACAAGTTCGGGGGTAATTAAAACGGAATATAGTTAAATATACACCGAATAAAAAGCTTCAAGTTTAGGGGGTAATAAATACTTTTGCCATAAATAAAAGATGTAAATGAATCAAATAAATAATTGGCATGAAATTTTGTGTATTAGGCAAGCAATCAATGTATTCAATGATGGTGCTTTCATGCACCTTCCAATCAAGTGGAGAGTCGTTAAGAGTGAGCTGGATTGCAATCTAGATAATTAGCATTTCTAATTAATCCATTATTCTCTTTATAACCACATTAAATAAAAATGAATACTAATTTCTTTACCTCTTACACGTCTCTTGAGAAATAAAAAATAAGAAAAATATAAGTTACCTTTAAGTAACTTCTTATATTTATATGTCTTATCTATCAAAATCAAAATTAATAGTGGAGGAACTTTCAAAAAGAATTAACTTAAGAGCAAAATGAAACGGAGGAAGTAATTGCTATTACTGTTTTCGCATTTAGCTGAAAAACAGGTATAGTATATTCCTTTTCATCTTTCTATACCAGCTTTGAGACAGCTTGGAGTAGCAAGATATTGCAAACACCAAAGATTACTGTTTGGGGTAAAATAAATTATATTCTCCCACGGACAATTGTATGTTGCATTTTATATAGGATAATAGGAATATCAATGTCCACGATAAGAGTTTTTGTGATGTGAGGACCAACCCAAAAAGTCAACATAAGAATATATTACATGTTTGCATGTAATAACACAAGAATGTGACTCATTATACATTTTGACTATCAAACTTAAGTTGATTGTTCAAGTTTTGCAGCTTTAGAAAATATTTTATCATTTGTTGTTCAACAAAAAAAAATCACTGGAATGGACTGATTATTAACTTGTATTTTTCCGTTTAAAAGTTTGGGGTATTCATTACAATCTGTTTTAATATAATATAATATATATATATATATATTTTGCTTGACTTGGACACACGTCCAAAATTAGCACATTTAACAAATACATAAGCTTTTATTAATTATATCAACACGGATTCTGGTGCAGTTGGTCTGCTTCACCATTAACCAGAGATTTCATGTTGGGAGTGCCACCCCCAAATAGATCCTGTAATATGCGATCCTTATTTAGTCGGGACTCCAATACGAGTTCCGAAAGCTGGGTGGAAACAGGAAAAAAATAAAACCTTCTTAATGTAGTGGAAAATGTGGTTCAAAATTTAGGTTGAGTGATAGGTTCAGTTCCTAGTTGCATGCAGTAAAGGTGGTCCAAATTTAATAGGTTTCAGTTCCCAGTTGCTGCATCTTGAATTTTAATGTGGATGTGGATGTGGGTTTGTTCAAACTTTAATGGCTTAAGTCATCTGTGGTCCCTTAAAGTTGTCCGCATAATTCACTTAGACATCTTAATACCTATTGAATACCTAAAATATTAAAAAACATGTATCTATTAAGCACAAAATACTGATGTGACAAAAAACGTGTTCTTCACTTTCCATGAGCGCGTGAAGATACCCAAATAACATTTTCCTTTTTCTTTTTCTTGAAAAAATACATTTTTTTTGCTTTATTGACCCTTGACATTAATTAATAAAGAAATCAAAAAAAAAAATTAACTAACAATTAAAACAAAAAAGAAAAAGAAAAAGCACGTCTTCTTTCCAGGATGATGCTTCAACGATTTCCATCCAACATCATTTCACCATCTCTGTACTTACCAGTTACCTCTCATGCCACCCCACCCCTTTAACTTTCTCTCACCCTCTCCACTTATTCTTCTGTTTTTTCTTCTTTTTTCAGATTTCAAATATTTCGGCGAAGCTCCATTTATTGCGATGTAAGAAAACTGTATCAATTCTTTTTTCGGTAAAAAATGTTATTATTTCTTGTAATTGTGATAAATGTTTATTAATCGAAAGAAAATGACGGCAATGGTAGGAGGTGCTGCCGATGCCGATGAAAGGGAATGAAAGAGTGGGGCGATGATTTATTTGTGTGTCGGTGCCGACAGGAAGGGCAAACAGTCTCAACGACGGGAGGATGGGGGTGTTAATTAAAAGTGTTAAATTTTATTTTCTAAAAATTATTTTTGGAATATTTATACAGTTTTTTTTTTAAAAAAAGAATTCAACTGCCACATGTCATTATTTTATTGATACACCTATTATATATTTGCGTTTGAGCTACACACAATTTTGTTTTTCAACTGATTATCATTTTGTGTCTAATAGATATAAGTTTTTTAAGGTTAAAGTGTTCAATATGTACTAACCCTAATTGACTAAATGAATTATGCGGACAATTTTAAGGGGCCACAGATGACTTAAGCCGAGTTTAATAGTCAAAGTGATATTTTTTAGACCAAAATGATACGTATGCTTTAATGATGGGATAGCACGGTAGTATGGAGTAGGGGTGTGCAAAAATCGATTTAATCAATAAACCGAACTGAAAAAAACACTATTGGTTTATTGATATTGGGTTATTGGGCTAACGGTTTTTAAACGGTTTTGCAAAATTTTTTATTGGATTATTGGTTCGGTTTCCGATTTTATAATTTTTGTTAATGGTTAAACCGATAACCCAATAAGATTATACTAAATTTATTAGTCTTATTGTTAATGGTTAAACGATTGTTACTTTCACACTTTTTGTTAATGGTTAAAACGATTGTTACTTTCACACTTTTTCCTTTGAATGTGTCTAGTATCTAAATTTGAAAGAAAAATGATTGTTACTTTTATGATTATTACTTTTATGCCAAATGCTGGAAAAATCATATGGTTTATTTGAAAATTTTCTTATCGTGTATATAATATATATGAGTATTTTCTTATTGGTTAAACCGAAAACCGAACCGTTAAGTACCATAAACTAATTAACCAAAAACCGATAAGAAATATGTTATTGGTTTGGTTATCGGTTTGAAGTATTTACAAACCGAAAACCGATAAACCGAACCAATAACACCTAAAACCTAACCGAATCGACCGATGCGCACCCCTAGTATGGAGCTCATAAAGATGGACAGTCAGTATGAATTTAATACTCCCTCGGTATTTTTTTTATTTGTTAAATTTTGACTTGACACACTTATTCAGGAAATATTGATTGGTATAGCGAATTTACCAATTTACCCCTTTTAATTGATAGAATCTCAAATATATTTATTCACTATATTTTTGAAAGACATTAACTCAATGTTAATAAATTGAAAAAAATAAAATAAAATAATCCTTTCTTAATTTATTAAAAATAACAGATAAATGTAAATAGGGGCGGAGGGAGTAGATTTTTGTAAAGTCAAACTGACAAAATATGTATAGAAAATTTACAACTACTTATCTATACATTGATAGTCCCAATACGAGCTACCCTCTGACTTTCATAGCAACTTTCTATTTATAGCTAAATGCTGCCTGAATACTTATTTCCTTATTTTTATGTGCAATCACATGGAGAAAGCCTACTCTTTCTTTGTTTCACTTCTACTCTTGCATCTCTACTTGTTAGAAACATGCATTAGCAAAAACATAGTAATTAACACAGATCAATCAGTTCTACTTTCATTGAAAGCCAGTTTTACTCTAAGCTCTTCTCATCCCTTAGCTCAAAATTGGTCTTCTCAAGCTTCAGTTTGTGATTGGATTGGAGTCACTTGCGGTTCTCGTCACCATAGGGTGATTGCACTAAATATATCTAACATGAACATTTTTGGAAAGAATATTCCTCCACATTTGGGAAACCTCTCTTTTCTCGTTTCTCTCGATCTAAGCAAAAACTATTTACATGGAGACATCCCGCAAGATTTGTCTCGTTTAAATCGATTGAAGGTGATGGATCTCAGTTACAATAATTTCAGCGGAGAGATTCCAATGTGGTTCGGTTTCAATTCTGCTTTTATTTCAAAGTTAGAAACTCTGAGTGTGAGAAACAATCTCCTTCAAGGCAGTATCCCCAAGGAGATTGGGAACCTTGAGAATCTTAAGGACTTGATTTTATTCGAAAATCAACTTACTGGCTCTATTCCACTCTCCATTTTCAACATTTCGACCTTGGAACTTTTAGGTCTCTCAGGTAATCAATTAACAGGGAGTCTTCCTGTAGATATATGTCGCCGTCTTGGAAGAATAAAGAGAATATCACTAGTTTCGAACCATTTGAGTGGTTACATTCCATCAGGTTTGTCTAACTGCACAGAATTGTCCGAATTGTCATTGGCATACAATAACTTCAGTGGAAACATTCCACCAGAAATTGTCAACTTGGAGAGGCTTGAGCTCTTAAGCCTTGGGGGAAACAACTTGCAAGGTATTTATTAAGGGTGTGCTAACTGTTACGTCAATAATGGGCAAGTAAAAATGCATGGAGAGGGTACTTCTCTCAATTTGAATAACATTTTATATTTTAGCGCGCTCATAATAATTGCCCATGTCCTAGCCTTTTCTGTTAACAATAAATAATACTTGTTCCGTTTTAACTCTCAAAAATAACTTACAGGCACGATTCCAGCAAAGATTGGTAATTTAAGAAAGTTGCAGCAATTACATTTGGAGAATAATCACATTGTGGGTTCAATACCGCGCACTATCTCCAACTTATCATCACTATGGTGGCTTAATTTGAACACCAACAGTTTATCAGGTAATTTTCAAGCAATGTAGTCTTGTTTGGTTATAGGGATCACTATTACTCCTCCATCATGCATAGAATTTGGTATATGAACGAATGCAATCAAGCATAATCTTCATGAAAGTTGGAACAAAATAGAAAAATAGCATTGATCTGGATGATTTTGCTCTGTATTATGTGGCAGGTGTTATACCAACAGAGATTGGGAATCTTCACAAATTGAAGATACTTTATTTGCAATTTAATCGATTAAGTGGCTCCATACCAGAAGGGCTCTTCAATATCTCTACGTTAATGGCGATTTCACTTCTCACTAATAACCTTTCGGGTAGTCTTCCATCTGCTTCAGGCTACTGGCAAACAAATCTACAGCTATTGAATCTTGGTGATAACAACATTGAAGGAGTTATACCCACCTCAATCTCCAATTCTTCAAATCTATGGGATTTATTGCTTAATGATAACAAATTCAGTGGCCAAATTCCTAACTCATTGGGGGATTTGAGGCATCTTGTATATCTTGACTTGTCCAATAATAACTTATCATTTCCGCGTCAAAGTATCTTCGCTTCCTTGGCCAACTGCAGAAATTTAACAAGCATATGGTTAGCGAATAATCCTCTGAATGGTGTTCTTCCGGATTCCATTGGTAATCTCTCCAAAGCTATTGAAATATTTGATTTATCTAGTTGTGAAATTCGAGGAAAGATACCAGTAGGAATTGGTAATTTAAGTAACTTAAACACTTTGTACCTATTCGGCAATGACTTGACTGGATCAGTGCCAACAACGTTATGTGATTTACCCATTCTTCAAGGATTACGTCTTGACAATAATAGGTTAACTGGACCCTTGCCGGAGTGCCTTTACAAATTGTCATCGTTGGGCTTGTTTAATTTGTCATATAACCACATTTCAGGTCCGATACCATCTAGCATTGGCAACATTACCTCTTTGAGAAATATTTATCTAAATTCAAATAGGCTCACTAACATACCCTTGAGTCTATGGAGCCTCAAAGATCTTTTGGTGCTTCACTTGTCCAATAATTCTTTGGTCGGCTCTATACCTCCCGATTTTAGCAAGTTGCATGCCATAACATCCATAGATCTGTCCAGGAATCACCTTTCAGGAAGTATTCCCTCGACAATTGGAGACTTGCAGAATCTACTTTATCTTTCTTTGGCTTATAATGAGTTACATGGATCTATTCCGGAGTCACTGGGGAAAATGATAAGTTTGGAATTGGCGAATCTATCCAATAACATTCTTTCAGGTACGATCCCAAAATCATTAGAGTCACTTCGATATCTGAAGGATTTCAATGTATCATTCAATAGATTAAAAGGTGAAATCCCAAGTAAAGGACCCTTTCGCAATTTCACCTCTCAATCTTTTATGGGAAATGAGGAGCTGTGCGGGGAGTTGCTTTTTCAGCCTTGTATGGCTAGGTCTTTTCATCATTCAAGGATAAGCAAATTGCTTCTGACTATACTTGTCCCACTGGTAGCTGCAGTACTAGTACTTGGCTCAATCGTTGTGTTAATTTTAAGGAGACGTCGGAATAGAAATGTTCCAATTCAAGATGAATCCTTTACTGCAACAACACTAGCCAGGATTTCATACATTGAAATCGAAAGGGCAACTCAAGGGTTCGACCAATGCAACTTGCTAGGCTCTGGAGGTTTTGGCACTGTTTACAAGGGTATGTTTGCAAACGGGATGACTTTGGCAATCAAAGTGTTCAATTTACAGGTTGAAGGTGCGTTAAAGAGTTTTGATGCTGAATGTGAAGTTTTACGCAACCTTCGTCATAGAAATCTTACCAAAGTTATCAGTAGTTGTACTAACTTGGATTTTAAAGCGTTGCTTCTTGATTATATGCCCAATGGAAGCCTAGAGCTGTGGTTACATTCTGATGATCGCTTCTTGAATATGATCCAAAGATTAGACATAATGATCGATGTTGCATTTGCTTTGGAATATCTCCATCATGGTTATGGAACAGTGGTTGTACATAGTGACCTGAAGCCTAGCAATGTCTTGCTAGATGAAAAGTTGGTTGGACATGTGAGTGACTTTGGCCTGACCAAGTTATTAGGAGAAGGGGAATCAATTGCTCATACTAAAACACTTGCTACAATGGGGTACATTGCACCAGGTAACTTTCTTTTAGTCCTTTCATTATCGCATATAAATTGTTATTTTACATCACATTAGAACTCGGTGAAAGCCTGAGTGGATAACTCAATTAAAGAAAACATATTATATCACTGATTAAGCATGAAAAAAAATGGTATTGATAACATTGAAATATGACTGTTCCAAACTCTATATACATGCATCTACGATGATAAGAAAAAGAAGCATGTGGTCATGTCGTTTCAATTTTTTTTAAAGCAAATGTATCCTTCAAAGGAGATTAAATAGGTAAGGCAAAGGAACATAGAGGGGGGCTATGCCTAACCTCTGCAATACAAGGAATGAGGAAGTCATCCTTACACTCTAACTTACCGGAGAAAAGGAGGAGGAAAAAAAGGGTTGTTCCACGTCAATTAAGCATATAAAAAGATTTTAGAGCAAGCAGAGAAACTCAGCCACGATAAAATAAAGTTGCCTCTCTTCACTATTGTTTACCTTCTCTTAAATTATGTTTCAAAGTGAAATGGCCAAGTGACCTCATAGATTGAATCCGTCTAATATCATCTGCCAGAAGTCATATCGTTTCAATTGATTACCTTACTCTTGTTTAAATCCCATTATACCTTTAAGTTTTTTTAAGTGTTTGTATACTCAAGGTGGATTCAACTATTTTTCATATCTAGCAAAATAAATAAAATAATAATAATAATAATAATAAATTTTTTTAAAAATAAAATATATATATATATATATATATATATATATATATTTGGCTCGTCAAAATACTAATTACTCTGGTACATTGCATCAGAGTATGGATCAATAGGATTAGTTTCTACAAGATGTGATGTGTACAGCTACGGAATTATGCTCATGGAAACTTTCACAAGAAAAAAGCCATATGATGAAATGTTTCAAGCAGATTTGAACATGAGAAGGTGGATCTGTAATTTACTATCTGTCGCACCAGATGATATCATTGATGACACCTTATTGGAACCTGAAGAGATTGATTTTAAGAAAAAGTTGCATTGTGTGTCCTCTATTTTGGAGTTGGCATTGAATTGCACAGCTGAATCTCCTTATGAGAGGCCGAACATGAAAGATGTCCTGGCAAATATCAATAAGATCAAACAAGAATTTCTTCGCAGATGATGTAACAAGGTTTATGTGATGGTACGTATACAACTTTTTGAAACATTCTAATGTCATATGGAGAAATTATTGTCTTGTCTATACCATGAATAAATGTAGATGGGGTTTTTTAATTCAAATCCATCATCCTGGCTGCATTAACTTCTGATGCTGGGGAGGTTTCCCTACCACCGATATTTGAATCCAAAAGGTATAGTGTTGAGCTGGTTTCAATCAATTACAGGGGTAAAGTTTAACCGTGGTCTATAAGCACCAATAAATTGACTTAGCTTGTGACAAGAATTCTTATGGAAATTGGTTGTAGTAAAATAAACCTTGAGATGAAATAGAACCTCATTGACAGTTGTTCTTTTGTTACCATATCTAGCCTTCTAAAGTTCTCAACAGATAAAAGCACCTATAGCTTGAGTAGCAGTCTTTAGAGCTGAGTTACTTAGCGTAAGACAAACTGTTTACGCTGAGCAGATTGCGCCTATCCATACTGTTTCATCCTTTGGAATTCTACAACAGAATCACCGGGAAACAATTAAAAAACCAAAGTTAGTTAATACATCATCTATAGGGATTTACTAAGGGTGACCTTTCTGAGTTTGAGGAGAACTTTCTGAGTATCCCAGGTTTCTTATTACTTTCTAAGTTCGAGGAAAAATTCTCCAGTGAGTAAAATAAATCAAGAATTTATAAGGAGAAAGACTAACATTTTTGCCAACGGAAATTTCATCATGGTGACAGTTGAAATATATACTTTATGTTGAAAAGTTAACTGCTCAAGTCTCTGTTAATACTATAGTATAGTGAGTATATTTTTGCCTGTGCTGAGTTTGTATCATAATGACTGGAAACTCAAGTTTGATCACATTTAAACTTCTGTACAGGTAATGCTGCCTTCCACTCCTGGCGTAACAAATCTGGGTGATCCCAATTGCGACGAATACCAATCTTTGTTCCGAGATTAGAACTTTTTCTTGTTCATTCAAGTTTGGAGTGTGTCAAATAACTTTAATATATAAGATGTGTGCTAAAGTTGGTATGGAGAATGTCTTGTATTAGTATGGATGATCATTATTGTAAAAACAATTTAATTATAAGAGGCAGAAACTCAACCCAAAATCATTTTCAGGTAAGTGCGTCAACCCCACTTAAATCTTCATTCAAGGCAATTTCTTGAAGACTTTTAGTTAAATTTGGGGCACTGTATTTTCTGCAAACAAACTGTTTGATTGATTGTCTCAAAGAGAAATAGAATCTGGCTTTTCCTTATAATTAGAAGATGAAGAATACAAGACAAATTTCCTATATTTCGTTTCTTGGCAAAGAGATTCGTCGAGATATTTTTTCAAGATTACCAGTTAAAACTCTGCTGCACTTGAAGTTCGTTTGTAAACGCTGGTGCACTCTGATTTCGACCCCCTGTTTTCTCTCTCTGCATCTCAAGAGGTTTAGTTCGGACCCTGACAACCATTATATCCTTGTTTGGACTAGGGAGAGAAATGGTTTGATCCGTATACGAAGTCCAGGATACTTCATAAAGCTTACAGATTACTGAACCTCGTATGTCTGATTATTTGTCTATGGAACCCGATAAATCAATTCAAGATTCTCCCTATGCACCTTCAAAAAGCACACAAATGTTATGTTAATGTGGGTTTTGGGTATGAACAGAATTCTGATGATTACAAGGTCATGAGGATTCTAAACTATGAGAAAGGTAGGCGAGTTACTATAGTTGAGGTTTACTCAACCAAATTGGAATCTTGGAGAGATGTGAAAATTAATAATTTCTTAAACATGACTACCTGCCACTGTGATGCAATTGTTGAAGGGTTTAATTACTGGGTTATCAAAAACATGGAAAAAACACCCTGTAATACTGTTCTTGCCTCGTTTGATTTGAAGAGAGAGATGTTCGTTTGGTTTGGTTACTGAATCTCAAAGTTTTAGGGCCATAAACTATCCTGGGTGACTTGCATTGCTTGCATACTCATCACACACTGAATTCAAGACGTGTCTTGAGGTTTGGATATATGAGGATGATAGGAACAGATTCTATTCGTTCAGTTTTCTACTATACTGTCTTGTATCGATTAACGGTTTCATGCCTATCCCAGTCAATCAAAGAAGAAAAGGAAGGCTCCAATTCCATAGAAGAAAAAGCAAAATAGAGCTAACAGGCACATAGCCGAACTGAAGTAAATGTAGCAATTCTAACAAAATTATGCTACTGAAAAAAAAAATACAATAAATAAATAGATAGTACAAAAAATTGAATCGAATCACATCAAAAAGTAATGATTGAGAATGTGAAGAAAATGAAATATAAAAAATGAAAAAATAAAATTTTAGAAAATATTAGAATAACAAAAACATTTTTTATAAAATAATAAATTAAAAAGAAAAATTCAAATATAAATAAAGGGAAAGAAAAATATTTTAAAAAATTTCATGTAATTACACCTAATTCCTAACCCTCCCTTGGGAATTGCGGAGTGCAATTACTACCCTTCAAGTACACCCGACTCCTCTCTTACCAAGTATTCTATCTGTCCCTAATTACTTGTCCACTTTTCTTTTTTTGGTTGTTTTTAATTACTTGTCCATTTTGACAAATCAAGAAATGACAAAAAATTTTTTTAACTATTATATCCTCAATTAATTACTTTAAAAAAAGATAGAACTTTTGAAAATCTTTGTTTTTAATTCACTCACTTCATAATTAATAGTGGTAAAATGGTAATTTCACTATGTCATTAATTATTTTATTAATATGTGTGTCCATTCAAAAGTGGATACATAATTAGGGACAGAAGAAGTAATTACTTGGTCTACCAAACATATCAAAAAGAGTAATTACATCAAATCTCAATTACATATGACTTTGTAAACAACCCTTAAGTGGGAAAAAGGGTACTCCATGGTGATGGAGACGTAAAACAAATAAATGATTATTGGGCACAGGTATATTAGGGGTAAATCAATCCC